CCTAAACTCTAAACTCTAAAACCCTAAAACCCTAAACCTTAAACTCTAAAACCCTAAACCCTAAAACCCGAAACCCTAAAACCTAAAACCCTAAACCCTAAACCCTAAAACCCTAAACCCTAAACCCCTGAAGCCACAAAGGGAAATCCAGGAGCTCAGGGGTTCCACGGCAAGAAGCCCCGAGCAGAGGGCTGGATTTCTGTGGCGCATGCTTATGTGAGCTGATCCTGCACTGCACTGCTGTTTAGGGTGTACCCCTCCAGGCCCCATAGTTTAGGGTTTAGGGTTTAGGCTTTAGGGTTTAGGGCTTTAGGGTTTAGGGTCATACCCATAGGCCCGATAGTAGTTCCTGTTTGGGCCTCATATTTAGAATCCTGTAAGGTAAGCCCCAAAAGGAACTACTATGGGGCCTATGGATAGGGTTTAGGGTCTAGGGTCTGTTTCTCCAGATGTTTTCGCAGGCATAGGATAAACACTGCAGATCTCTGTATCTATCCGTCGATTCCAAATTCTTTTCCATAAAACTATTTGCATTCGCACTGGTTGCGCAGGAAAGCCTGCTGAAAGCCCACGAAAGCCTTCTACCCAAAGCCTTGCCTAGCACCGCGCACACCAAATTCCAAATCACGACAAACCGCACACATGCCCAAATCCAAATCCTAAACTACTCTGAAGTATAAAATCCTAAACTCTGAACCCAACGCCCTTACCACGAGGAAGTCGGGGGACCTCGTCCCAATTCCAGTCGCAGACCGGCAGCGCCATGTCCAAGGCACTATAGTCAACACGTCGTGAAGGAGTTGAGGGCTTGCTCCTGGACAGGGCCCCCCCAAAAGTACAAATCACGCAATGGATATCTGATCAACCACCTTGGGTTTAGGGTTTTAGGGTTCAGGGTTCGTGCCCTACTCAAGGGTGTTGTGCGTTGTGTGGGAGTGGTAGTCAAGCTGCCTGAAGCGGTATCTCTGCTGTGACAAAGAATCCCGGTCAACCAGTTTAATATTTCCAGCAGCCTTAGGCGCTTTAGAGTGGGCCTGCTTTTCACCAATGCAAGTCCTTGGGAAGCCCAGATAATTGTACGATAACACATCCCCCAACCCCTCTTCTAACGATTAAGGTCGAAGCCAGTCTCGATGACCCTCCTCGCACAAGAACCTTCAGCTACCCTAAACCCTAAACCCTAAACCAACCCTAAACCCTAAACCCTAAACTCTAAACCCTAAACCCTAGCATGAGCAGTACAAGCAGTTGAAGATCAAGCCAGGAAGCTAGGAATCTGCACCTCCGGATGAGTTAAACAACCCCCGAGTCCCGGAAAGCCAACACCAAGCCCTGAGCCGGCAATGATTGACTGGGTTGGCCTTTAAACCCTCTGAATATAGATAGATAGATAGATAGATAGATAGATAGATACATAGATAGATAGATAGATAGATGGATAGATATATAGATAGATAGATAGATAGATAGATAGATAGATGGATAGATGGATATATATATATATATAGGGCCCCATATACACCCAAATAGGGAAAATCAAAACCTAGTATAGAGGTCCGTTGGAAGAAGTGTTGTTGTAGCCATGACGGTGCAACCGCAGCGTTCCAACCAGCCCCAGGCCCTCAATACAGAACCCTGGGGTTTAGGGTTTAGGGGTTTAGGGGTTTAGAACCCTGAAGTGACGGCAACCCTTCGAATTTGCCTCGAATCGCGGGCCTCACTCATCACCTGCGTGGAGTATTTCAGTCAGGTGCAGTTGTTCGGGGCTTGCAAAACAAACTCTCTACCTCTGTCTCTCTCTCTCTCTCTACCTCTCTCTCTCTCTCTCTCGCTCGCTCGCTCGCTGACAACCATGGGAGAACCTCTCTCTCGACGTTGATGCTTCTGTATGTTCACGGGTGCACCCCAAACCCCAGTCATGCACGTGCACCCTCCCCACAACCGAGGCCCCAACCCTTTGTGAATCCGTATGAACCCTTAAGCCACGAAGCCTAAAACGTGGCGCGACAAAGCTCGACTTGCCGCATGCTTTATGTTGTTCAGAGGTCTATTATAGTATAACTTTAATAAGGAACCGCCAAAATGATATAATTTAGGTACTTATTTGGGCCTCTATATTAGATACGAATTTGAAAAATCAAAAAAAGCTTTCGTCCTTATCTGTAGGCTTCATAGGTCTTGGCCCTTACTATCGGGCTTTAGGGGCGATGCAAATCCATCAAATGTCCGCCTTACCTTGGTCTGGCTTTGGGTTTCCAGCTGTAGTGTTGAACCCCTCGCCCTCTCTCCGAGGCCCCGTCTTCCTCCCGAAATTCTAGAGTTGCATTCTACAGGTTTTTTGCATTCTACAGGTTTTGTGGGCGTAGGCCTGCTCGACTATCCAAGGCAAAGGGGACAGAGAAGCCCGCCCCTGGGATTCTGGATCGTCTTTTATTTGTGAGGGTGTGTGTGTGTGTGTGTGTGTCGACACTTAGCTTGTTCTTGTTGCTGCGTGTAGGGCCCCAAGGACTTATACAAAGAAATCATCATAATGAACTTTAAAAAGGTAGGTTCCTCAGGCGCCAGGCAATGCTTAAGGGAATCGAAGGGCTCGCGACTTGCGCCTTCGAGCCCAGAGCGCGTGAAAAGGACAGTCTGGGGTGGCCTTTAAACCCTGTGAAAAATATTTATATGAAGGGCCCCTTATAAACCCAAATTAAGGAAAATAAAAAATGTCACCAAAACCAGCCTAGTAGTGTTGATAAAGATGGAACAAGAAGCAGCCATGAACATCGGAAGCGACATGGGGGTTTCCGAACATAGGGGACCCTGGTATAGTACCCTAAATAGTCGGATCCTTAATATAGGGAGCCCAAAATAAGGTACTTTTTATTTTCGGAAACTCACACATATGAATGAAAGAAAAAAGGCACCCGGCAACGATCTGGGGTGCAACAAGCTGGGATAGACCTGTCGGCAAAGTTTTCAGTTTATCGCATCTGCATGCACAGTCAGACTTGTGAAATGGGTAGTTCTCTAAATTAGGGTCCCTTCTGAGGTCCCCCAAATAGTACGGCACCCTGAAAAAAAGACCCCCAAAGGGACCCTAATATAGAGAACTACCCAAATGCTCATTCCTGTAACCTGTCTTGGCATCGCTTCGCGGGTCATGGGCCGAGGCACGGCCGGCAACACTCCCAGTGATAATACAGGGGCCTTCATAATTAGAATAAGGGTTTGGGCCCCTTTCAAGTATAATTATAGTAAGGAACCCTAACAGCAATATTCGTAATTGTTTTGGCTTCTATAGTAGGCGTGATTCACTGCCAAAGCTTTCAGGGGCAAAGGTGCGTGTTTATGAGGGAGGCACCCAAAACACACTTTACTGCCTTTTGAGGAAACACACACACACACACACGCATATATATATATATATACATTTATATTTCTATTCATTTATGTATATACGGATATAAAAAACCTAATTAGACCCTAAACCCTTAAACAAAAACAAAGCCTAAATCAATAAAGTCCCCAGACCTCAAAACCTCAACAAAGGCTCAGCACCCAAAACCCAAAAACCTAGGATGCGCCATAACACAGGTGTAACCAAAAAATCCCACCTCGAGAGCCTCTGCGCGCTCCTCGATGTCTTCGGGGAAGTAGACCTGTTCGCGCTTCGGGCATGTAGGGCCCTTGGTTTGCAGGCCAAAGGCTCGAGAACTACTGGAGTTTTAGGGCTTTCGGCTTCAGGATAAACGCGCTTCGGGCTGAGGGTTCGGAGCTTGGGGTTTTTTGCCTCCTACTTAGCAAGGACGAGCCCACATAGCTTGGGGTTTAGGGTTCAGGGTTTAGACTTTAGGCTGCGGCTTGTGCGCTGTGGGTGGGAGGCCTTAAGAATGGGGCTTCGAGCTTCGATTCTCGGGGCCTTGATAATTAAACTCGAGTTTTAAGTTTCGGGGTATAATCATTACAATACAGGGGGCCCTAAGGAATACTGCTGTTCAGGCCCTTATTCTAGTTTGTTTAGGGGGAGAGAAGGGCTTTCACGACCGGATGTCGCGTGAATGAAGCACTAAAAGCTCGGATTGGAGCCCAACGGAGCCCGTCATACTGAACGGCTATATAAACTACACTATACTGTGCTTTACTCTACTAGACTGTACTATACTTTACTGCACTATACTATAGTGTACTATACCATGCGTCATCTATAACACAGATTTAGTTTCGAGCTTCGCCTCGCATGCCAAGCTAATGTTCAGGATGAGCATTCTGCCTAAGCCTGGACACCGACCCGTAGTGGCTGTAGCCATCTGTAGCCCCAGCCACCGGGCTCAAAGGTCCGGTCTGAAACCGTTTAGGGCTTTCACACTCGGACAATACAGGCGTGGCTTGTCGTCTTAAGTCGTAGGGGTTCAGGGCTTAGGGTAAATGTCAAGACTGAACGGAAGCTCAATCTCGAAAAACCTCCACTCCCTGGCCTCAGCCCTAAACCCTGACCTCAAAACCCCAACCCTAAACCCTCCCAAAGTTGCACCTCAACTTCCTCCATTTCCTCTGGCACTTCGATCTGTTGTGCAGCTTCTCTCACTCCCACGAATTCTGCTCGATGTTCCTCCTCTTCGGGGAAGTAGACCTGCTCTTTAGGGTTTAGGGTTTAGGGTTCGAGTTTAGGGGTTTTAGAATCGGGCACAGGGTTTCAGGCTCGATGGGGTTTAAGCGCATAGGTTTAGGAATTTTGGCGGATCGAAAAGCTCGGGCTCGGGGGTTTCGGCGCTAACACTCGGACAAGCCAGGCGAGGCATGTGGTTCAAGGTCTGCTTTGAAGTGACACTTTGCGAGTTCAAACCCGCTGCAACAACACACATCCATACGAGATCGCAACCTACTAAATTGGTGCGTCTGCATCTCGTCGACATCCAATAAGCCAAGCATACTAGTTCAGGATTTCGACATCTGCCACAGCGAGATCACGCGATACGGGCTCGGGTAGGCTAACAAACAGAACCTATAGTCTCCATTGTAGTTCCTTTTATTGGTTTAACCAATTCGATATTTAAGATCCCATAAGGTAACCCCAAAAAGGAACTACAATGGAGACGATAGGTAGAGTGATAAAAAGCAAGTCATGACCCTGGGAATGCTTGCGATCTCCCGGAATCGTCACGATTCTCATGGTGAGACTAAGGATGTACCTCTGCCAAATCAGTAGCAAAGAGTATAGGGTATAAAGAATCACGGTACGCTATACAGATATATCATGCCGATGACTTCATCAAAAGTCGAGGAGTGTGCTAATGAAAACAAATTCCAAATTAGGTCTAGTTTTTACTATTCGTGTACGCATTTAGGGTTCATTGTTATAGGATTGTTTCCTGTTGCTGGCGTTCTGGAGATTTCCGTCATTGCATGAGGCCAGATGTACCGGTGGATGCTCACCTGTCACAAGCACTACGAGGTCCTCGAGCTAACTTCGCTTCAAAGTGAACAGCAAAAGCACTGGGTTCTGGGCTCGAAACCCCAAACAAAAGCCCTCCCCCTCCCCAACCCCAGATTTTTGAAACCCCCTTATAATTTTGTAAGCGTCAACTACGCCAAAACCTAAACCCGGAGAACGCCGACCCGATTATGTACCAAACCCTTCACTCGACTCACCCCCCCCCCCCTCCGAACCCTAGAGCTTCACGGCACCTGCACTTCTCGGGGCACTTCGACCTGTTGCTCAGTCTCTCTGTTCTCTCGTTTCTCTCTCACACGACGGGTTGTTAGATTTGCTGTGTTGCTGCGGTTGCGGCGCATGCTGGGCAGCAGTATTACGACTGTCAGTATGGGTGCATGCCCGTGACGACGGCCTATATCAGACTCGTAACCCCGAGCCGTGAAGTGAGTTTAGCTAGAGTATTACATCAAACAAACCCATCGGCTTGTAAAGTGTTATGAATCCAAATACATCTGGCATGAAACAACGCGAAAAAGGAATCCTATGAATCGTGATATGCCATAGCCCACGCCGAAGCCCCGACGTGGAGGCGCGCCCCCAAGGAAACACAGAAAGGCTTCAGAGCTTCAGGAAGACGCCCGCTTATATCCTTCCTGGTATTGGGGGTATATCTGTTGCTCTGAGTTTACATAGCAACGCCGCGCAATCAGGAGTACTAGCAGTGGTGACTGGATGGACATAAGTTACATCGTTAGACGTGGGTTCGGCTTCTCGGCGACAAAAAAGAGGCACAGCGAAACACTGAAAAACTACGCGGCTTTGTTTGGTAGAAGCCTCTAAGTAGCCCACGATGCGAAGCAGTTCAGAAACTGGATTATTCGGATTTGCGGACAGCCGAACGAGTGCAGTCAGTTTTTATCTCATGGTCTGCACCCTTTTGCAACAGGCTTTCCACTTCGCCCAGAGTTGGAGCAGCAGACCATAAACCCTAAACCTTGAAACCCGAAACTACAGGGTGCACCAGCCCGGGTTTCAGCTCGCCGCTGTGTGATCATGTGTACATAGCATCGCATGCAAAAGAGGACAACATGCCTTCTCTGGGTTGGCCTTTGAACCCTCTGAAAACATGCTTATATACTGAGTCCCTTATAAACCCAAATAAGGAAAATAACACATGTCCCAAAAACCAACCTAGTATTCGATGATATTCTGAGCCGAACCATCCAGGATAACAACTACAAGGAAGATAGATGAAACATGAGAACTGACAATAGAGCGCTTGCCGACGGTGACAGCGACAAAAAGAGCAAAGCAAAGGCCTACAACGACGACAGCCGGACCGTAACATAACACGAAACAGCCGGATAACCAACCTCATTGCAATCAACATAGAAAAGCAAGAAGCACGATCCGAAGTAAGATGCAGGAGCACCAACATAACAACAGGCTCATGGTTTCTTAACGGACACATACAAAGACACGACATTCATCAGAAAAATTCACTACTGTGTGAGCCCTTCTTCAACAGTAAGACAACCAAAACACTTGTTCAACTTCGGCCCTCAACTAAGACTGTAGGTTTCCAAAACCACACCAACCCTAAACCCTAAGCCCTAAGCCTAAACCCTAAACCCTAAACCCTTTCACCAACCTTTTGGGCCATTGGGTTTCAGCCCTTTTGCTTTTGCTTTTAGGTTGGGCATATTAGGGATTAGACTGTGGACTTGATCAGGGTGCTGGGTTTCGGGTTGAACTGTATCCGGCCTCCTTTTTGACCTCCTCTGTGGGCTCCTTACGCTTCAGTGGAGGCTCGATGTCGGCCTGGACGAACCGAAGCCAAACAAATGCAGGGTACTGCATGTACACAGTCACACTAGCAATGAAGCTTCAGACTGATCCAGTAGTACTGACCGTGAACTCCGCACCTTAGAAAGCCACCTTGAAACCTTTTTACACAGGCTTGTTTGGAGCTCGCCCGGCCAAACCTAAACCCCAAACTTCAAACCAAAAACCCTAAAACCCAAGACTGGCTCCCTTCATGCTTCTGCTGCCTCTGCCAACCGACGGCGCATCCGCCAGTAAAGCCTCGGATGCTTCGTTTTGTTCGCTATTTGATGCTACATCATGTATCGTTTTTCGCTTTTTTTTTTCAAGGGGGGTGGGGGGGAATGTAGGCTGATCAGAGTGTTTGCGGCATAGCGGCATGGCTTGTAGGGCCAAGGCTTTGGGGTGTCGGGGTTAACTTTGGACCAGGGGTGTGCGACTTCGGGTACTTATCAAAGCCGGGGCTGTAATGCTGAATGTTTACATACACCTATAACCCTAAACCCTAAACCCTAGACCCTAAACGCACATACTGACTTCGACTCTCCCGCATGCTCGAGGCAGGAAAGGTTCCACGGCATCAGAACTAAGCCAGGCGTCCTTCCAGTAATACACTCTTGTCGGTGCATGCATCTTGAACAAGTGCCAGGCCCCCAGCATAGCAGGACAACCCCCCCCCCTCCCCAACTCGAAGCAAGCGCCAACCAAGAACTGATAAACCAACACGCTTAACCACACATTGACCCCTGCTTGGAGCGCTGGCAGTACGCCGACCCGATAGCAAGCCCTCAAAGAATACCGATTTGCAGTTTGGGGTTTGGCTGTCACGGAGAGCGGAAGGAGAGAGGGAGGGAGAGACAGAGAGAGCGAGAGAGAGAAAGGCAGAGTAAAGCGATCGAGGAATGCTGGGAAGCCCGAAACTACAGTCTCGTTGGAGGAATCAGCGCGATCCCAACAGTGTTCCCGGGCTTGGAAATCTCAGCTCAAGAGCCAATGCTGCAAGCGATCTAGGGTTTCGGATCTAGGGTTTAGGGTTTTGGTAACTCTACAACCCTACAGTAAGCCCTAACTGACAGGTTGGTTCCGTATATACATATATAACAGGAATATATATAACAGAATAATACTAACCATCATAGTAATAAGAACATTCTGCAAACATCCATCGCAGCATAGTACCCGGGAGAATCCACTTCTGTCAAGGCTAAGCCATGGATTCTCCACTCCAAAAGGAGCAGAGAACTTAGGAGCCTTCATAAGTAGTAGATGGGTGTTGGGGTGATTTCTGGTTTAGGGTTTAGGGGCTTGGGTTTGGGGCTTAGGGTTTGCAGGGTTTAGGGTACTATGGTTTGGTTGTACTACTTATAAGGAATCCTAACGAACAGCATCTTAAGCCCCTAGATAATATGCCCGAAAAGCAGAATTGCGAAGCGCTGACAGGCGGCAGTACGAAGATCAACACCAATAAGCAGAGAGTGGTCAGGATGCAGGCGATGATGACGCCAACGGGCAGCACATCTGCCGCTGCCTCTGCCAGTCTTGCAGTGGTGCTGGTAGCAGAGGTGCTGGTAGCAGAGGTGCTCGTCGCAGTGGTGTGGGTGCTGGTGGCAGTCCTGGGCGCTCGGGATCCGACGCTTCGACTCTGGTGGCTTAGGTCTTGGAGTACTTGGGCTGATAGGGGCCTTGCAACTGAAGCCGATGGCAGACTGACTTGCCGACATCAGGACGGCTCATGTTGGGGTTTAACATGTCAACAGAGAAGACAAGGTCGACCGGGGACTCCCACTTCGATTTTGGGCTTGGGTCCTCTGAAAGAAGAAGCGGTCGCCAAAGCTTCTACTGAAGTCTACCTGTGGCTTTGAAACTTGCGGCCAACAGCAAGGACTGCAAACATGCATGGGGCTCCGGTTCTCAATTGTGAGGGTTTCTGCCCTGATATTCCAGCACCTTTTCTCGACAGCTGGTAAAAGGAGCCCCGCATGCAGTGGAAAAACAAAGTGCTGCATCAACAGTCCACTCTCTCCAGCCTAGGGTCGTGGACACGGCGTTCATGACCACTGCTTGGACAGTCACCGTGACATTTTCCTTGCGGTGCGCTCTGATGAAAACCGACGATACTTCTGCTGCTGCTCTTGCCGCCAGCAGCATCACATTCAAGATCGTTCAAGTAATATTTACAAATTTCGCTAGAATGCTGTACTGCACACCAAAGCCTTATTATTAATGATGTTTCCTCAACTTCGAAAGTCCTTATTTATCGAACTCTTAAGCCCCCTCTATGATGCCAGTGTCCCAGGAAGTGGGACGATGCCGCACACCATTGCTTAGCAACACAAAATCGCGAAAGGTGCCGGCAACACACAGGAGTAGAAATACCAACATTAGGGTTAAAGGCAACCACGATTACATGTTCGTACTGGCGGCATCCATGAAGGCAGGCTAGCAGCCAAGGCTTCGTACTTCTGCATCTCTCGGGTGAGGAGTTGGGATGCTTGCTCCGGTGGTAGCCTGAGGCCAACGGATAAGATTAACATGCAGTCTTTTCAGTTTGCATTCAACTCTTGTTTGTCGTTGCTTTTGGAGTTCGGGGGTCCTTTAGGGTTAGGTTTCGGGTCTAGGGCATTTGGGTTGATGATTTAAGTTAACTGTCCCTCCAGCCCAGTCTGCTCCCCGTCTCATTAGACGTCCAGTGATGCATGTGCATCCCAGGCGTGGGCTCAGCGAAATAAGATGGCAGCGGCCTGAAGCACGACTTCCAGAAACTCAAACAGCAAAACGCATATCTGGAAGAACAGCTCGAGTATCCACATCACTGTAAGCTTGGCAGCACCTGTTCTGCGCAAGACCCCGAACCATCTCTGTCCGAGTTGTCGACAAGGCCCGCCAACACGCTGAAGTCGGCAGAAACTCTTCAGAACCAAAAGTCCCGGAAACACTTTGCGCGATATTCGTGTGCCACATGTAAGGGGTGATGACGACAGCTCAGTTGAAACCCCCAAACCCTAAACTCAGCTGCTATGTTGTGACACTGCTTTGTGCGAAAGCACTCGTTCGTGGCGACCAACTCCGAATCTGTGGCTCCCCACCTCAAGGCCCTAAGTCCTAAACCTTGAATTTTTTTAAGGGTTTCGATAAGGCTTTAGGGTTTAGGGTTTAGATAAGGGTTTAGTGTTCAGGGTTTATAAACCCTCAGCCCTAAACCCCAACTTCAGTCCAAGGCGCAACTCCAGCGTGCCGCTGACATTTTCTGCTACAGCTTGCCGGTCGGGAACGTACGGCGGGATGAACACCGCCTGAGAATCGGCTTATAATTGTCTCTGTCTCTCTTCACAAGTTCGGACTTGGTATCTGGTGTTGCTGCTGCTTGTGACGACCAGGATAAGGGTTCCGTGGATTGCTTGTTTTGGTCTGAAGTGTGCATCGTGATTTCGGTCTGCATTTAATGTGGCCTGCCTTCTTCAGCCTTACATGGCCGACACGTCTGAGATTCGGGTTATGGCTGGCGTGTAGGATTGCTGTCCACAACCCACAAACGCAGATTCCTGCAGATTCTGATGAAAGCTACTACTACCAAGACGACGACCATTACTACTCCTTCTGCTACTACGACGACTACTACAATCACCACTGCCACCGCTACTACTTGCAGTACCGTTGCGACTACGACTACGAGCACTGCTAGGACTACCACTACTCCGACACCTACGGCGACGTGGGCTTAGAACTCGTCTGATAGCTGGCCAGACCCTGAGCTCTCACCCTCAAACCCTAAACCCTAAACCCTCAAACTTCGAATCCTGGGCCTGAGCCCCTGGCTTTTAAAGTTGTGATTTTCGGTTCTCGGATTTCCAGCCCAACCCTCAACCACAAACGGGCATAATATATGGGCCTCGATAATTAGAATCGGGCTTTGGGATATATTCTACTATATTTATAAGAAGGACCCCCCCCCCCCACCACAAAAAAAATACTACAGGTAGTTATGAAGGCTTCTATATCAAACCGACTTTAAGCCGCTGCCGCGCAGCAAAGATGATGGAGATCGAGACAGTCCGATTCGAGAGCACATCTTGGAGACGCCTTGCAGTGGGAGGCTAGTCGTTCTTTAGGGTTTAGGTTTTAGGGTTTAGGGTTTAGGGGTGATCGTGATCTGGTATAGGGGGTTTTAGGGTTTTGGGAGGTTAGTGCCGAACTGCCAAATGCTACATGGTCTTTTGCGGGGGGTACAATGGACTCCGCAGACTTAAAGGGAACAGGAAGAAGGCTAAGGGAATGACTCGGGCTTCGGGCTTAGAGTTTGCAGTTTTGACTGGAGCCTGAGGTGCAAGCCATGGCTCGAACTTGTAGAGGCAACTAACAGGAACCAAAATCCAATAGGCTGAACATGTTCAACCGAGTTTGGGGGTTGCTTGAAGTTTATACTTGAGAAACTCATACGGTGTTAAGGCTTAAGGGGGAATCAGGACGATGCAGGCGTCAGCTGACACAAAATAGAGTTCTCCTTCGACGAATGTTTGCATCACTTCAGATTGCTGGACTGCACAAACATCCTCAAACCTCCTTAGTTCAAAGCGCCGTCAAGACTCTTGGGGCTTAGGGTGCCCATCATCGAGGCTACTGAGGCTCTTTGAGACGGCTTCGAGTTACACCCCGAAACCTGAAACTTTGAACCTTGAGCTAGACAGTGCAAACCCAGTCCAATCTCCAACAACTCGACCTGGAAACCTGTCTGCAGCCAATCATAATCTAATCTATATATATATATATATGACATATCATGAAAGACTATGATCCCAAACCCTAGAAAGCTGAGCTCGGAGCCCTGCACGAAGGTCCTGAGTATGACTTCGCCCTAGCTACACACCGGAACCCCACCCTAACCCTAGCCTCACCTAGAGTTTAGGGTTTTTAGAAGCCCAGGGGTTTGTTGGGTGGTGCTTCCCTAAACCCTTTTGCATCCAGCCTGCAAGAGCCTCTGCTGGGAACCTAACGAGGGCTTAGAGCAAACCTTCAAGTCTGCAATGCCGGGAACCCTAAACCCGAAACCTCTACAATCCTTGCCTCCTTGCATCAGCATCCAGGCAGCTCTGCCCGAACGTCGTCGACACATGTTGGACCTGACAGGGGCTGCCGCCCATGGTTGGGTTTCACACCGGCCCGACACCTGAACGGTTTAGGGTTTAGGGTTTAGGGTTTAGGGTTTAGGGTTTAGGGTTTAGGGAACTGAATCCAAAGAGATAGTGTGTTCTTGAACATGCCTCAGCATGAGGGGACCAGCTATCCGAGGAGGCTGGCCCCCTTAAGGCTCTGGACCCTCTTAGGCCCAATAAGGGAAAGTACAACATGTCCCGGCCCTAAACCCTAAACCCTAAACCCTGAACTCTAAACCCGAAAACCCTAAAGCCCCTAAGCCCCAAACCCGAACCTGGGGGCATCAGGGCCTTTAGGGACACCCCCGAACCCGAAGCCGGGCCAGGGCTTCAGGGTTCAGGGTTCAGGGTTTAGGGTGTAGGGTACAGGGTTTAGGCTTCGAAGTTGCAGGGCTCACTATTTAGGGCTGGGGGGGTTTTGGGGTTTTGGGGGTTCTAGGGCCTGGGGGTTTTGGGGCTTTAGGGATTGGGGGCTTAGGGTGTAGGGATTGGGGTTTTAGGGTTTAGGGATTGGGGGTTTAGGGCTTTAGGGTTCTGGGATTTCTGGATGGGGACGAGGACCCTGGAGAGTTTCGGACCAAGCAGAACGGAAGCGACCGCGAACCAGAAATCCCCGGCCGTCGTGTTAAGTTGGAGTTAGGAGTAGGGGAACCCCTGGGGATATAGACAAGCTCAATGAGGTCCCTTTCAGAGAGCCATAAGTAGGGTTGAGAGGGTCCCCTCTAAGGGGGCTCCCTAATACTACCTGGGACTTAAGGACCTGTAACAACCTGACAAATCGAGAGAACCTTGCATAATTCAACAGAGCAAGATGAGCAAGGCGTGGGCTGCTTTCTTGGAGGCTCACGGGCAGTGATAAAAGGAGTTGTAAGTAGGGTAACTATATTTGTAACCTTTGTTACGCTCTCACAACTCGGACTAGCCAGGCGAGGTTCAGTAGTTAAGGGACTTATAACCCCGCTTCTAACTGTCCATGAACCCCTAAACCCTCAACCCTTTTTTGCATCAGGACTTGTGCAATCGCCTGAATCCTCAACCCTAAACCCCCAAACCCTAAACCCCTTACACCTGGACTTGATGAATGCCAGCACCCCACTGAGCCCCAAGCCCCTAAACCCCTAAACCCTGAACCCTAAACCTCCAAGTTGCAATGCCCGAAGCCCTGCACCGCCCTCCCCAGGCGCACGTACTCGGGCTGGATCACAGCACCCGCTGCAGATGAGACGGCAGCCTGTATAGCCTGCTGTGTGTCGTCGCGGCTTCTAATACACCTATAGTCTCCATTGTAGTTCCTTTCTTGGTTGAACCAAGTCTATATTCTATGATCCAAAAAGGTAACCCCAAAAAGGAACTACAATGGAGACTATAATAGGTATGGGCCTTAATAGTTAGATTGGGGTTTTGGGGTATACTATACTATAATTATAATGTGGAACCCCCACAAAAGTATTGGTATTTAATTAGGCTCCTATATTTATTTAGGCTCTATAGGCTTCGGGCTGGGATTCGCGAGTTTGCGAAAATCCCGGACATCCATAAGGGGGACGATGGTCTGAGATTGGAATCCGTCAGTTCGGCGTAAGTAATTGGCTAGGTTTGGGTTCTCCTGTAATCACCGAAAGTTGCGAAGAACTGCGGTTTCTGTCTCGATCTTCCGATCGCTCCGAGAATGTCCAAGACAAACCAGAAACATGTTCTGCAAAGGGTTTAGGCTGCAAGCTGCCCCATGCCAGAAGCAAGATAAAGGCTCCCGATGGGTGTCTTCAGGGTCTTTTGCGGAGGAGGCCCTTGTGCATGCAGCTCGGCGCAGTTCAACCGAAACCTTGATCACGGACGCGCCCACACATCCGAAGCGCACAGTTGCACATACCCTGGTTGCCCTTACTCCCACGCCGGGAATTCTCGGAGGTTGATTGCCAGGAGGCCCTCCACTCTAAAGCTCCGCGAGGGTTACAGCTTGTAGCATGGACTACAACTATATAGGGGTCCTAGTAATTCGAACAAGGTTTTAGGTATGTTATATATACATACATATATATATATATATGCGATAATCATCTTAAGGGGCCCCCAAACAAAATAGTATGGGTAATTACGCAAGCCCCTCTAATAGACACTGCCGAGCATTTTCAAGCCCAAGACCACAAGCCTAAACCCTAAACCCTAGCCTCCCAGGTACCTACTATATAGGCTACTAGAGCCCCTAAGGCCCTATATAGTAGGTACCTGGGGGGTTAGGGTCAGCCTCAGGCCTGCGCCACCAAGTCAGCGTGATCTTCGAACCTGGGGCTGATCTTGAGGTTTAGGGTTTAGGGTTTAGGGTTCAGGGTTTAGGGTTCAGGGTTTAGGGTTTAGGGTTCAGGGTTTAGGGTTCAGGGTCTAGGGTTCAGGGCTGAGGGTTTAGGGTTTAGGGTTCAGGGTTTAGGGTTCAGGGTTGAGGGTTGAGGGTTTAGGGTTCAGGGTTTAGGGTTTAGGGAAAAGACGACGGCGAGCAGGAAAAATAGCAGTCATAAGGTCGATAATGACGGTCTATAATAAGGGTACCACCAAGGGCCTTACATATCTATGAAAGCATTCTTCAATTGCTGGCCACTCAAAACTGGTTCTTTGTTGGGGCTATATGAAAAATGATCATTTTTAGTCCCTATTGGGTTTTACTAAAACAAAAATAGAAAGATGTAGCCAACAAGGGCCCAGAAAATTTTATACATCGTCTCAAAGGATCTCAGAGGGATCTGCCATGAGAACGCTGAGGCAGCCGTCCACACGGACCGGGCTCCTGACAGGACTGGTGCTTCGAGGAAATATAACGGCCTGGAGCAAGTAGAATAGGGCTTTGGAGGTATAGCATAGTATAGTATAACGGTTTTGTAAATATACTCAGAAACCCTCAGGAATAGCTTCTATGTGCATTCTTCACTAAGCTGATTCATGTCTTTAGGCTCTCGAGGACCACTGATGCTCCAAGCCCCTGTTAACCCACCATGCAAAAAGCCCCTAGCAGCCCTACCGCATCCAGGTCTTCGACGATAGGCAAACCCCCAAAAGCCTACAAGCCACACCTTGCTATTCAATATGTGTACTACGGGTTCATATGTTCAGAAACTTCAATTTGATTGGGAAATTCAGGCTTATGGTTTACTGGCTATTAGGGTCTCGTTCAAAGGCCATGCTTCTGGCGATGCTCTCCAAGGAGGGACTCCGGAAACAACACGACGTGACTCACACAAACCAAACCATCAGAACAACCTGCTGCAAAGCCCGCGCTGCAAGCCACTATAAAACCCTTCTGCATCCTTCTGCCACCTTCTAAAGCCCTTTTTGTTGAACCCAGACTCTGCCAATCAGCTGGGAAGCAGCACGTCCAGATTATTGCTTCTAGAGCCCTAAACCCTAAAGCCCCGAACCAAACCCCTGGCAGCCCCGGACCCAAAATCTGCTAGAACTCGGGGTTCTAAAACCCACATCCAATGAAAGAACCATCCAAGGCTCAAATCCGTAAAGGTCGAGGTGATCCTGGCAGCATCAGTGTTAGGTTTTGATTTTAGGGTTTGGGGTTTGAATTATCTATTTTCAAGAAAATTAAGGTTGGCCCAGTTGGCCCCGCAAGGTCGCATCAAGGAAGGTATCAGGTATCGGTCCTGATGCATTCCTTACCATAGGCATATACTATAATATGCCGCAAAAGCCGCATTCTAACCGATGCTGAATGCCTTCCTGTTGAACGGAACCCTGATGCTAATCTCCCAGTGTCGAAACCCTGCAGTCTTGATCGCATGCCTGGCGGCTATGCTTTAGCTTCGCCCCTCCGGGCCCGTCCTTGTACTTGTCGTCACTGTGGTGGTGGGAATCGGCGTGTGGTGGAGTATGGGCAATACAGAAGCTCCAAACGTCTGAGCGCCGCGATAAGGTACAATGGCGAAGGCGGCCACGTCTCGAGAAACATCCGTGCGGCCCAAGTAAACGGCATACCAGGATGCGTCGCAGCAGGTCAGCATTTCCGGCCGCCAGTCGGACTGCTTCTCGACACTGCCCAACAACTCGAGCTGATCGCCGCACTCATTTACAAGCCACACCTCGGTATCTGCTGAGGCCCTACAGGACTTAAGATTCGCCTTGAAGCTGCGTTTAGGCTCTGGGACCCCCGGATTCTTTAACCATATGCTCGAGGCGCCTGGTATCCATCGATCACAATCTCCTCGACCTCACAACTGACGTTCGGACCCCACCGCAGCTCCCCAGAAAGGCTGTAGCCAGAGTCCCCGGAATCTGCCAAGTACCTGAAGCGAATGTCGCAAGATGAAAACGTTTTCGGGGTGCAGGGGTGAATCATTCACAACGGCAGGGTCTGAGATAAGCTTTTGGCAGCTCACAGGCGCGCACTGTAAAATGGGACAAATGAAGCCCAAAACCCAAGCAACAGAACGACCAGGATACACGGTGGCGCAGCTGGTGCATGAAGGTTCCGAGTCCTCCACACCATGCTTCTTAAAAACCCTGAAACCTACATCCTACACAACATTGACCCCAATACGTCCTAAGCAGTTCGCCGCTAGCTCTTAACCCTCAATCCCGAACCCTTACCCCTAAACAATTCCCAAACCCTAAACTTCCCCAATGTAGGGGCCTTAATAATTAGAATACGGTTTTGGGGTGATTCCACTTCTCAAGCGTGACTTGGGAGACACGGGCAATGTGATTCGGTACGTCAATCTCATTATTTGCATGGCAAATATTTGGTGAACCCAAGCCGAATGAGACGGCGTAGTCATCAAAGTCATTTAGACCCCGATGGTGTCACAGACTTGCACAGGAGTGATGCATAGCACTTGTGAGTTGACGTTGTCCAACATTCTGGCACTTATTCGGAGAGTCCCATGCAGGCAGAGAAAAAACAGACCTGCAGTGAAAGCAACATCAGAAGGGAACGTTTCAAGCCGTTTTGCTTGAGACACAAGTGTTTCAAGGACGTCCTCAAAGTCATGAATGTGAGTCTGAGTCTTAAACAGATACGTCGACAGGACTTTGAATTTATAAGAGACCATGCCGCCATTCTGAACAAAAAGCGCAAGCACCTGAGTCCAAGTTTTGACAGGTGTAGCAGATTCAGCAGGTTGACTGGTCCATTTGGACCAGAATAGGGTTTTGGGGGTATATTACACCATACTTAT